CTTTCTTCGAGTTGTACTAAGTAGATAATCATCCTAATATATTTAGCTTAACGAGAGACATAGATTTTGTTGAAAGTTATTCATATGAGATGTGGTTTTTATTTATTGTTTCCTTTATTAATATGGTATACAATCATCTAATTATTGTTGTGTTGGTTACCATTCGAGCTATCAATCACCAGTGGTCGAAGATGTGTGGTAGCATGATCATTGCTGTTACGTTTGTGAAGTAAAGATCGAGTGGTAATTTTTAATTTTCCTGAAAGTTGTTTGGTCAAGTATTTCAAATTTGATGAAAGTGAAGTAGCTATTCTATGATGCGGTGGAAAACTGATTTACTTAAAAGGTTTTAATTTGGTGTTCTTCGTAATTTTCATTGTTCGGATTTACCAGTACAGTTATTTATGACTTTTGCGATATCTTTAAGTCACGTACACAGTCTCAAGCTACGTTCTTAAATCACTGTAGTTTTTTTGCAATTTAAAGATTCTTGCCATTAAAGTGATGTGATTTTACATTGAAAAATAAGTTTCTTAGTTCGAATAATCACGTTCGGACTATTCTTGTCCTATTATTTGTATGGACTTCAGTAGATAATTCTATCATGTGGGAAGAGATGCACGTATGTTATTGTATGCTGTTACTGTAATTATGCTATTTCTGTTACTCTTTCCATGAAACGATTTCCTGCATGAAAATCTTATTTTTGCACAAACCTTTATAAATATTGGAATTGAACAGATACGGAAGTTATATGAATAACACTAACTGCTAAATCTTTTTGTTATTATATTATAGACTTCAATTCATTTTAATTGATTTGAAGTCTTATGTGAAACTGCAAAACGTGATTCTTGTTTTGTGTTCTCTAGATTTATATCATATTTTAATTTTCGTTTCTACGATTGATATGACAATGGTATCTTATCTGGGGATTACAATATTTGTGTTTTTCGTGGCGTTTCAGCTCCATAGTCAATTAATGGCGTCAACAAGAACAATTAGCCAAGCCGTATATTCAGTTGTTTATGTCACAGTTCCTAATCAGAGCGTCGCAAAGCAAATTGCGAAGTAATAATTAGTTCATCCTACATTTCTTGAATAATCATAATACTGTAATTACTAAATACTCATTTCAGAGAGGTTGTCAAAGGAAAACTTGCTGCTTGTGTCAACATTGTCCCCACCGTTACTTCCATGTTAGTTTACTTTCCTTCCACTACATATCTTAATTTTATGTAGAGAAAAAATCTGACTTTTTAAAAATTTACCTGGTATGGTGGCACTCGGAACCACACTTTTTTTCGTACTATAAAGTCTTATGCCGTTTTTAAATAGATCATTTCTTTGTTTTTAGTTATGAGTGGGAGAACAAGTTACAAGAAGATACAGAATCATTGCTGATTATAAAAACGAAGTCTGCTGTGTTAAATGCATTGAAAACAAAAGTACTCAGTATACACCCTTACAAAGTACCTGAATTTATAGCTTTGCCGGTAAGTTCCTTTGTCTACGTTATCGTAGATTCTGAAACGTAGGATCCAGATACTAGCTGCCTTTTAACTCTAATTATTGACTATATTTCTTCTAAAAGAGATTAATGATTAAGCTTGGAAAACTCGGAACTCTTTACTGGTTAAATTTCCTGATCAAGCTGTAAACTAATCATTTTTGCATCACCTGCATATCAAAAATAAGAATGAATGAAAGTCCAAAATCGTCGTCAAATCATTTCCAAGACAGAGATCAACCTACTGAAAAGCTAAAGAATTTATTTTAATTCTTCCAATTCTACTAGACATGAATTATTTCTACAATAGTGCATTTTTTATGCATCAGTTTTGTTCCAGATAGACAGTGGCAGCGAAACTTATTTGGAGTGGATTGATAAGCAAGTTAATTCATCTAATTTATGAGTACCTACTCAAAATTTTCACTGTGCTAAATTAATTTGGAAGTGGAGGTCTATGTTATGTAATCCAAATCATCCACAAATTTAAACTCCATCGAGAAGACTTAATTCAGTTAATCATACATGTCAGAAAAAAATCCTTCATTCTGCTATGCCCGAATTAACAAACTAGAAAAGATAGGCCGGTGTTACCATTCTACGCTTTATAAAATTTATTTACAAATGGACCACCGGCCTAAATATTGATACAGTTTAAATACATTTCCTATTATATCAATATATTCTGTTCACATTGGCACATTTTGTGTTGGTTTTACGCCCCATTGTTGTTGTGATGGCACAGTGTTCACTGTTTCTGGTAGCTGATAATTAAACATCCCATGAGGTGGTATCGGCTGCGATATTGTTACCTATGAAAATGCAAAAATACTTTTCAATAGCTTACTTTTTTTGTATCCTTCAAAACTACAGGCTACGCTTGAATTTAAACAAATGAATGCTTTCAAAGTTCAATCTATTTTATTTTAGATTTGTAAGGGTATAGGAATAAAGTTGCTGACGTAAAAATTTATGCTTAATCATATTTTTAAACGGGATGCAAAGTTTATATTCTGTACTGAGTTACTACTGCAGTGCACTAGCAATTAATAAAAAACCTGGCTGTGAGCTTGTTGGACAGCTTGGTCATACATAGCTAATACATCTCTTATTGCAATGTCCACTTGTGCCAAAGCATTGTGTTGCCGGTCGATTTCTGCCAATCTTGCATCTATTAGAGGGGCCTGGAAATTTTCATTAAACTGCTAGTATAACTTCTTAAAAATAAAATCAGCTTGTAGTGAGAAATAATCCAATCTTTAAAATCTCTTAATTCCATATACTGCACTTCCAATATTCAGTGTAAGAAAGGCTAAATAAGCACTTGGGCTAAACTGCGTTGTTCCAAATCTGCAAGCTCAGGTGGGTCTGGTCTTTCTCCAGTCGGATCACAATCTTCAAGCACACGAAGACACTTTTCTAACAGCGACTTATCGATTCTCGCAACAGGGATCTAAATAAATCGGATGGAGTATTTTTTTTTTTTTGAGAAAAAAAATCAAATGGATATTTGAAGATCTGTTTACTAATACAATTTTGCAGAATTATAGTCTCATTCTGTTCAGAACATGAAAAGAGATTTTGAAATTTTAAAGCATTTCAAAGCGCAGTTGCCGATCTTTCGAAACAGTGATATCATTCGAACGACTCACCGCTTGATGGACAGTTTCTTCCTCATGTGAGACGACTTCAGGAAAAGCTGAATCAGATGTGACAAAACTTGCTGGAAATAAACCTTCGCCGAGACGAGATCTTCCTCTCCACCAATTTAAATCACTATCATCTGTAACAATAATGGTGTCACCTGCTGAAAATGATAATTCGTTATCTTCTGCAGCTTCAAAATCATATAGTGCTCGTACTTCACGCTCTGATCTGCAAATGAAACATTAAGCACGACGAAGAAGCCTCATTACTCAGAAACTTGTGTCACAACTTCTGATATTCTGAAACAATTTTATGCGTCATTTCTTGACATTAGTTAGAACAATAAATATGAAGAAGCTTAAGAAACTAAACATATAGCAATAAGAAGATAATTGATGGCATTCAATTTGTTTATAAATGAACTAATCTTTAATTAAATGCAAACAAGTAAATGGTTTTTAATTCTTAGCTCTTTACTTGACTTTCAAATTTCCAAAAAAACAGACAGAAAAAGAATACTTTGGTGCTGAAATGTGTGGAGTAGTAGATGTTGTTAGGGAATGAATACCATTTGAATCTATTGACGCCTCTTGTAGTGATTTCGCTATAGCCATCATTACTGCTTCTTCCTCCTCTTCAACACTTTTCGCAGCACTCGGATCGCTATTCGAATCCTGAGACTTCTACAGTTGCAGTAGCATTCTTTTAATGAATTCAATCTGACAATCGAAAAATCTCTACCACATTAGTAAAATTGTAACCCTTACTTAACAATTATTCCAAAATAAAAAAAAGTGAGAAATTCCTGATTATCAAAATAAAAAAATTAATAAAAGAAATAAGATAACAGACACAAGTTCATAAAAATTTCCGACCTTTCATGTATATAATTTTATTGAGAGTGCGAAAAGATGCTGTTAAGTAAGAGAAACAAAAAATCATTTTTTAATCTTAGGCCATTTACTTGCTCATAAGATCTTCTAAATCTATTATTCTTTCTATTCGTTTACTGCCACAGTTCAAAAAACTTGAATATCTAGCTAACACGATTTGAGAATTATAAATTATTAAATTATAGCTTTCACTATTAGCATTAGTGATTAGCAAAACCAGAATTTCAAAACCTAACTTGTTTATTGAAAAAAATAAATAAATAAACCCCCAAACAATTTGATGAAATGTGCAGCTGAATGACATACAGAAGACTTGGGTAAATTTTCAGCTTCGAATGAGTATCCTTCCATTACAAGACTTTTATACAGAGATTCAATCAAACCCAAAGATGCATCCTTCTTGCACTCATTTTCCGACCATTTTTTGATCATTAACCGGGTTTTTTCCGCGATTGAACGATTACTCTGTAGTTTTAAGAAATGTACTTTCTAATATTATCTATCACTAGCACAAAATTTATACAACATGACATCCTTTTAGCCTATCTGGTTTTATAAAACCCAAACATTATCTCATGATAAGCTTAACACCACTCTTTTTTTAACGATAGTTGAACGGAGACCTGAAAAACAATCAGAAATTAAAACGCCAAGACTAACATGAGTAGCTTTAAAATTGAGTTCTTGCGAGAATTCGCGAGATGAGACCTCACGTCGGAATGTAACTCCACAATTATTCCATAGAGAATCCAAGAGGGATAGTGCCAGAAGAACTACATGAGGATCTCGATGATTCAACCTTTTTTTGACAGAGAGCAGGCAAAGTTTGGCTCCTGAAAGAATTTGCGAATTTCCACATATCAACCGCAGTGACAACAACTATAACATGAAACAATAAAGAGACCTAAAAAGATCAAATCCATTATAACCTCTGAAGTGATGAAATTCATCAAAACCTACATGCGGACTATTCAGCACAATTTTAAAGTCAAAAAACGAAACTTGAATCACGACACAATTGACCAAATAATAATTATAGTTGATTAATAAAAATAAATACCTTTATTCTGATCTGCAACTACTCGGTCGCATATATCAAGAATGAGTGTCCAATTTTCACTTGTACAAGTTTCGGCTGTAACTTTCTCTACGGATTCATCATAGGGTGAAGGGGTTTCTCCAAAAATAGGCATTGCAAGACCTGGAAATACATTTTTTTTGTGTATGTAAGCATCAATTATTAAAATCAATAATACAATTAGCACTAGAAAATAGTATTTCAATGATCGCAGTGACGCAATTTATGAAAAATTAAAATTAGATAGTGATGAAAACCTTCTAGTAAACAGAACCATTAGTGAATTTGTGATAAAACTTAATTCGCTGCAGATTATATATATTTTGAAAAAACTCAAAAAATTGAAAAAACAGGTCAACAGAATATCTCTGAGAGAAATTATTAGAGATTCACTAATCGTTCTGTTCACTAGAAGTAAAAAAGTTTGATAAACTAGAACAATAACTTGAAAAAAGTCTGCTGAAAAGATCTTGATTTGGTTAACAGTACATATAAAAACTTACAATAACGCAATAAAAACCAAAAAAATTTCAGTTCGGTTAATTAATCCAAAAGTTGAAAACTGAATTAACACTAAAAAATGGATAAATTCTAAATGTATAAACAAGAAATTTAATTTTATTACAGACGCTAAAAACAACTAAATCAGCTAAATCACAGAAAATACTACGTACAGAATAGATAGGCTAGCAGAAAATATTTGATGTCACAAATTTTTGTTTCTGGAAGACTAAAAACATCGATTTGAATATGATAATCAATAAACTCTAGCTTTTAGTGAAAATGCAATATAACTGAAAAAGGAAAATATTATCTTAAAATTAAGATTCAATGAAATGAAAACAAAAGTATTTATAGGAAATTTTAATAATAAAGAAAACTGAACTACAATATTTTATACGGTTATTCTATTCTACAGTAAAACTTACAAAGTTAATCCAATATCGCGAGATACGAACAAACGATGACAGCAATGTCTAAGATTACCTATTTATCCCAAATACATATTTTCTTGATGAATTAAAAGATTAAAAGCAATGAATTAGAATAGCAAATTCTTCAGATGAAAACAATTCTTTTCTTTGAGATGATACGATATCAGAATATCATTATTTCAAGACGTAATTTCTTATGACAGAAATATTTTTCCACTTAATGCCACGTGAAGTGAATAAAAAGTATTCTTTATATAACGGCATTTACTTTATATTATTTGTAGGTTTATTAGTCTAAAGAGATAACAATAAATATTATCATAGTACCATTATTCTAACAATGATAACAATAATAATCATCATAGTACTATTACTTTAATAACAATAACAGTAATAATTATTGGTATTTTGAGCAGTGAATGTAATTGCATTTACTAAGATATTAAATACTAAAAACATGAATTATATTTCGGAGCGTCAAATACTACCAACAAGTAGTAGAAGAGAAGAAGTCAAAAAATTATGCAATGTATTTTTGAATCCAGAAAAATAACACGTGGAAGAAAGAGAAAATTTTGTTAACGACCTGATACTGTACTACGGGATATCCGAGCAATCTTTTGCGCATTTGCGGCAAATTCCGAAACAATTTGGTTCTTCATAAGTATGTACAGCCAACCTTCACACAAAGACAAATAAAGCAAAAATGAACAAACTTAAGACTTCTCAGAGGTTTAACACACGCATACAAATCATCAAAATTGTAATATTAAAACTGGTATTTTTGAGAAGTAAAGTTCGCACTTTGAGAAGAATAAAAATCGTGCAGTCATGTCATCATACGGTACCCTTAATTCACGTACGTATTTCTACGCAAAATAAGAAAATTGCACTTTGTTAATTGATAATTGAATATATTTGAGGAAGAACTGTTGCTTCCCTCATTTCTGTAACAATAATTGCAGTATTTTTATTAGTGACGGATGGAAGGCGTTTAAATTTAAGAATTGTCTCACATTTCGAGTAAAGCACACGTAGATAGATTA